GGTCTGAGGTCTGGTATGAGGCAGTCTGTTTGATGGAGACCTGGTCCAGTTGCATATCTGAGGTCTGGTATGAGGCAGTCTGTTTGATGGAGACCTGGTCCAGTTGCAGGTCTGAGGTCTGGTATGGGGCAGTGTTAAGCAGCATTAGCAGTGTGTAGTCTTCAGTGTGAGCCCCTGCATGATTATAGGGGCGGCTGTGGCTGAGTGGTTAGTAGAGCAGTCATCCTCCAATGCGAGAGTTGGGGGTTCAAATCCACCAGCATTCACATGTCAAAGTGTCCCTGGGCAAGACACTGAACCCCTTATAGCCTCTGATGTGTGTCCCATCAGTGTATGAATGTGATAAAGCACTGATTACCATACCATACCATACCATACCAATTTATTTATATAGCACTTAAAACAGCAACAAGGCCAACCAAAGTGCTGTACAAAAGAACCAAACATGCACAGCAGACAGGAAAACATAAAATAGAAATACAGATACAAATAGCAGCAGAAGCTAACTAAAATGGCCAACAGAGTGGAGAACAGACCGGACCAAAACAAATCACACCGTGTTAAAGGCAAGCGAATAGAAGTGGGTCTTCAAGCGAGACTTAAAGACTGAGAGTGTGGGAGCCTGCCGGACACTCAGTGGCAACTGATTAGTCTCTTTAGAATGATTTGTTCAATTAGCTTTGTAGTGATCTAGTAGAGTGTATGGTAAATGGACTGTACTTATATAGCGCCTTTCTATCTTATTTCAAGATACTCAAAGCGCTTTACACTACAATCTGTGTCCTCATTTACCCATTCATACAGCACTCTACTGGATCTCTACAAAGCTAACTGAACAAATCATTCTAATGAGACTAATCAGAGCTTTATCACATTCATACACTGATGGGACACACATCAGAGGCTATGAGGGGTTCAGTGTCTTGCCCAGGGACACTTCGACATGTGACTGCTGGTGGATTCAAACCCCCAACTCTCGCATTGGAGGACGACTGCTCTAACCACTCAGCCACAGCCGCCCAAGTGTGTATGTGTATGTGAGTGCTGTATGAATGGGTAAATGAGGACACAGATTGTGGTGTAAAGCGCTTTTAGTGTCTTGAAATAAGACAGAAAGGCGCTATATAAGTACAGTCCATTTACATGCTCCTTGTAGGTCAAATGAACTGTCTCATATTCATTCCAGCTCCAACATGTGTTTACATGCTGCAGTTTATACACCACACTCTCACACTAATGCTTGTTTAGAAAGTTGTTCTCTTGAAGCTAAATGTCAGGAACTCAGGCCATATTTAATCCTCATGAACTGGTGTCTGGTGTTTTCTGTGCAAAGTACTTTAAAATATTGTAAAAACATCCAAACATCCTTATTCACACCACAGAGTGTTGGATTGTCTTGAATTTTCTTTGTTTCAGTGACAGTGTAGTAGTGAGCGTTGGTTGTGGGGTGGGTATTGTTGTCCTATTATTAGTGTGAGCCAGGCCGGCCAGCAGCTGTTGGGAAGGAAGTGGGTGTACTGGGAACACTGGGCGGGAGTTATGGTCTGACTGCTGGAATTCCTAAATCAGCAGAGTCAGCGGGTCAGGAGCAGGATCACAGGTGTAAAACTGAGGTCAGAGGTCAGTGATCTGAACCTTCAGCTGTTGCAGCTGCTCTGTGATGGCATGACTTGTTTTGTCCAGGTTTTTGTAGGTCTCTGGTGAACTACAATCTATGAGTCTATCAGATCCAGTCTGGGGGAGACTGGATCTGATAGACTCATATATGTAAATATGGAAAATGCAAAATAGCCCCCTGTTAATGAAGAGGACAAATGTGTACAGCACTGGAAACACATCAATAAGTAGGGGTCAAGGGTCAGGCCTTAGAGTTTATTGGCCCTGCAAAAAGTTAAGACACTTTTATAAAGTTTTGTTGTTGTTGTTGCTTTTGAATTGTTCTGCCTCATAGTTCAGCATCTTAATGCTGCCTGGAGCAGCTTTATCTCTAATTCTGAGTATTAAAATGAACAGAAACAGTCTGTATTTTCCTGATCCCCTGCCTTGATGTTTTATTTGTGCTCATTTCTTTACCACATTTATTTAAAGAACAGCCAGTCAACAGTTTTGTCCCCCTCAAAAGTATTGTTTTCTGTTCCCCAGTTTTTGTGCAGATTACTGTTTTTTTTAAATAATGCTTAAAATTTACAGATAACGAAAGCATCTCTGTCTGAACATTCACAGGAACTTCACAGATGTTTCAGCATCAGAAATTAGTTGAAATGTCCACAGAAATGTTTGAAATTGTAAGTCTGGAACAGTATGGAGTACAGTGCTGGAAAATGTACAGGAACATTAATGAGTGTCATTACAAGATCTGACTGAAGAAGACAGTTTACTGTGAGATTGTACAGTGGTGAACGTCAGAAAATCAGAGAAATGCTGCTCAGTATGTGAGGTTTAGTTGGCTGCCTGCACTTTTTTAGGAAACTGTATCTGCAGTCACACAAATTTTTACATTTTAATGAATAAGTACTTATGCTTTAACAAGCAGACAGAAAGTGGATCAACACATCAGTTTAGATCTAATAAATGGAGCTGATTAATCATTAATCTGTCGTCAGCTTTCTTTTATTTTATCGCCTGAGATGTGGCATTTATGATGGACTGCAGCTTGCTGTTTCAGTATGAATTATTAAATAAACAAAAAATTCTAAAGCCAATCATTCTGTCACAGATTTATAACTCCTCTATCTTCAGTGTCTCAGTCAGTGAAAGCTATGAGTGTTTTAAAGTTTTCAATCCCGGGTTTTCCCAACAGGACTCAGATCTGGGTTCTGGTGAAATGTCCCTTTAGTGCTGTGAAATAAATCTCACTGAAAGTTTGAAACTGGCTGTCACTTCCATCAAGTTATTATTATTATGTTTTTAATTTATGAGTTTCATGAAGACGTCTTTATTGAAAGAGAGCTGTTATGAAACTACCTGGTCTAAAATCTCACACCTGTGGTGAAAGACCAACATCTCTCGTCTTGAACAAACTTGTTTGAATGTTTTAAATGTCTCTAAAGTAAAAAAAAAAAAGAAAAGAAAAGAAAACTATATATAAGGCGAGTCTGTGATTTGAAGGTCGCCAGTTCGACTCCCTGGACCAACAACATCAAAAATGTGTGTGAAAAGGTGAAACACCCACACCTGTCTCCACCCTCATTTGCCCCACTCTGGGCCCTTGAGCAAGGCACTCAACCCCCACCATCTGATCTCCCGGGCGCCCATTGATAGCAGCTGTCTGCTCCACACAAAGGGCTGTGGTAGCGCGGTGTCTGTGGTTGTGTCAGGAAGAACATAAGGCATAAAAACAATTGTCAAATCTTCATTCAAGTTAATTCGCTGTGACGACCTCTGAAGAAGAGAGCAGCTGAAAGAATTTTAAAAAGTTGGCTACGTATGTTATGATTTTAACACTAATTATCAGGGTTGAAATGTAGGGAATTACATTATATGTCTTGTAGTGAACTAAGCCTCAGGTCAAATCTGGCCCTGAGGGCCTTTCTGGGACAAGAACTGTTATTTCATTGATTTGAGTCCAGAAACACAAAATTAAGTTCATCCAGAGACTTTCTAAGTGTCCTGCACTGATCAATTGAAAGAACACTCTCTTTTTTATTATCATTACTATTTTACAAATGTCGTGATAATCAAAAGTGTGTTTAATTCAAACCATTTTAAATGTTGAAGTGAACTACTCATTTTAAATCAACTGTGAAACAGTATAAGTGATTTTCAATCCTCATTCAAAGTAGAAATCATTTTAAAGTTTGTCACAAGAGTAATTATTCATTTTCTTGATCTTCTGTCTGAAATGAGCAAGTGTAAGTTGGTCAAAGGTCAAGTTTCGGTCAACTACAAGTTTACTGTGTCAGGATCAGGTGGACAGGAACGAACCCAGTTGTGCAGACAGGACTCAACTCGGCAGATTAAAAAACTAAATACTTTAATGGCGAAATAATATGGTAACAAAACAATAAGCTGACGTGGCAGCAAAACTTACATGAACCAGAAGACTCAGGTAGAAACTCACAAGGACTCAGG